ATTATTATTATTATTATCATTTCCCATGGAGTCGGTTCACACATTCAATAATCAAATGTGGAAGAATGTAGGGATGCACATGAAAAAAGAGAACGGACCTTGGTATCTCCCTATCCATCCACGCCCAGTCCTTAGAGACAGAAAGACTGAATTGGAAGTGCATGAACAATTTGTGGGGAAGTTTGTAAAGGTACAGGATTCTCCAGTTATAATTGATTTATGCCAAACCCCATTAAGCAGCCATCAGGTTATTTTAATGTCTCTGTCCTTTAGTTTCTCATGTTGTACAAAGTGCATTAAAAGCTCCTTGCCAAAAACAAAGCAAAACAACAATCTTACAAGCCGGACCAGTCAGCCATGCCCATAATTCACTAGTTGCCTCAAAGACAATATTGAAGACCCGAAGGTCCATCTGGAGGAGATTCCCGCACATCACAGGCAAACAGCAAGTCTCAAAACAAAGATTACATGGGCCCAGATTCAATTTCTTGCTCGGCCATGGAGCACTCTGGGGTGACCTTGGGTCCATCATGATTTCTTAGCCATATGAGGCTGTTATGAGGATTAGCAATGGTCAGGTTAGCCACGGCCACAACCTTGAGCTGCATGAAGGACATGTAGGGTACAAATAGGAAAAGTAAATATATATGTGCATGTTGTTGTTGCTGATGTTGTGTGCCTTCAAGTCCTTTCCTATTTATGGTGACACTAAGGCAAGCCTATCCAAAGATTTTCTTGGCAAGATTTGTTCAGAGGGGTTTTTGCCAGTGCCTCTTTCTGAGGCTAACAGAGTATGACTTGCTTACAGTGAGTTTCCATGGCCAAGCAAAGATTCATACTCTGGTTTCCAGAGTCATAGTTCAATGCTCAATCCACTACAACACACTAGTTCTGTATGTGCATAGATCTGATGTATTATTTACTAAATGTTTTCCTCCAAACTGTTGTTATGTGCTCCAAAGCCTATGGAAAGACTGAGATATAGACTGAAATAAATTCCAGTGCCACCAAGAGGATTTTGCATATGGCATAGCAGTTTGAGTGTTGGACTACAATTCTGGAGACCAGGATCTGATTCCCAGCTTGGCTATGAAACCCATTGGGTGACCTTGGGTAAGTCACATGCTCTCAGCCTCAGGGTGGAGGCAATGGCAAACCTGCTCTGAACCAATCTTGCCAAGAAAACCCCATGATAGGTTAGGGTCGCCATAAGTCAGAAATGACTTGAAGGCACAGAACAACAACAACAGAAATTTATTTGTTCATGTTTTCATCCCACCCTTCCTCCAAAGCGCTCCTATATACAGAGGCATTTGGCTCATTTTGTCATGTAAGCAGATCAGGTTGAGAGTATATTTGGCCCAAGCCCAGCCAAAGAGCTTCAGAGCCCCAATGGGGATTTTGTCCCAGGTCTGAGCAGCGGGAAGAGGAAAACAACCACACGCTAACCATTCCATCATACTGCCTCTCTTTTGCTCTCCTTCCCTAGGAACAGTAGAAGAAACAGAACAAATCTGTGCAAATCTACTCAGCACATTGACACTCTGTGTGTTGCCTTGGGTAGTTCTCACTGTGAGTTTGTCAAGCTTGTATCCCGGGGTCCCTCAAATGCTTGTTGGATCCTCAGGGAGGTGACACTACATGTCTTCATCCTTTGCTAAATATCAAAAAAAATCAAAGTGGGGAAGAGGCGAGAGAGAGAGAGAGAGAGAGAGAGAGAAGAAAAGGCCCCCAACACACACATGCACACAGAGATAATCTTTCAGGTTCCGAGTCATGTGCATAAATATTATTCTGAGCATTAACTTGGACCGGTCACATTGAACAAATTATGTAAACTCCACCTCGTAACGCTGAAACCTTTTGATGTGTAAATCTAAAAATACCACGACTTTGTCCCACAGACCGGCAGCTTATATTTGTTTTGAGTCAAGCTCAGCTGTCTAAAGTAATGGAGCTGGCTGATGGGTCCAAGAAATAAAATAATAATGGAAATTGTCTAAATTCTCTAATTTATTTTTGAAAGGCGTCAGGCTAGAAATGCAAAGGCCTTTCCTTGCCTGAAAGAGATGAACCTTTGCCTCCCACTTATCTCAACCCAAAGACATTCTGGCTCAACATCCCCAGGAACAGCTACCTATTTCTTATTGAGATCCCCAGTATTTGAGTCTTCTTCCCCCTAGATTCATCAGAATGTGAGGCTTTCCCCCCTAAATGGACTATCCTCTTGGAATGAAAGGGTTCATTCCTGGCTTCCTCCACTGGACTGACCTTTTTGGTTCCCAAAAGCTTATGGGATCTGCTTCTTCCATCTGTGACTCCACCTGCCCTGGTTTCTCAGGCCAAAAGCAAGGATCAGCTATACGTGTTTGAAAACACATCCCCATTTCTCCCTCCTCTCCGCCTTTGCCACCCTTCCCATGCCAATCATGCCACCTTGGGAAGCAAAACAAGAGAATGGTGAAGCTTGATCCATAGAAACACATCCTGGAGCCCATCCGCACTGTAGAAATAATCCGGTTTGAGGCCACTTTAACTTCCAGGGCTCAATGCGATGGAAGTCTGGGCACTGGAGTTGGTTGTGGCACTTTAGTGCCACAACCAACTCCAGTGCCCAGACTTCCATCGCATTGAGCCCTGGCAGTTAAAGTGGCATCAAACTGGATTATTTCTGCAGTGCGGATGCAGGCTTGGAAAGCTTCAGGCTGGAAGGAGGGGGGAAAGAAAGTGTCCACCAATGCTCAACTTCAGCACCCTGGACAGAGCTCTTGGTTTTGCAAAGCAGAGGAAAAAACAAAAGGACAAAGCCTCTCAACACACCCTGCTATTCATTCTTCAAATATTGTTGAAACTGGACATGTGCCTGTTGAAGACATCTGTTTATTTTTAGGATTGACAAATCCTCTTTGGATTTGGGAGTGTTGATGCCACTAGATGCCCTGTCTTTGGGGGAGAGATCCTCTTCCCCATCCACAAAACCTATCCGAGGGGCCAGGAGGCAAAGTACAAG